AATGGAGATCGGAGGATCCCTCGTCGTCGTCCGGTGATGACAAGGATGGCGAGGTAGGGAAGACTGGAACATCGATCGAGAGAGTCGAGCGAGACCCTGTGAAGACAGCGACGCTGCAACAGGCAGAGGAGGCGAACATTAAAGTGGTTAGTCCTATTGAACGAAGTGGCTGGCTGGCTGGCTGACCGACCGACCGACCATCGGATCCACCGAGCGAGAGTGCGAGCGTCTCAGGCACGGGTGTACAGAGACAGGGGGTAGGTCGAACTTCTGTATACCCAAGATTGTAAGCATCATGGGGATTGTCTGTTTTCCAGAATTATTTCTTCACCCAACAAGCACAGGGAAACTTTACTTCTTGCCAGCGACCGATATTTAACCTCTTGCGATGCTATCAATCGATCCGAGAGACGTAGAAAAACAACAAATTCGTGTACATTGCATTCGATAAAATAGTAAATATCGGAACCCAACCAAATTCAAAGACGTACATCACTTATCTTCGTATCTCTGGTGAATATTTGGAAATTGATCCAAATAAAGTCCGAAGAGACATCTGTCCTTATTCACTCTGTATTGGAGGCATTCAAGACAAATGAATATCAGAGAGTTCAGTGCTACTTTTCTAAGTGGACATCGTAACCCCATAAGATATTTCATACATGATAGATTGTATTGCCTAGTCACTCCTCACTGCTATCTTCAATCGATCTTTTGAACTATCAGTTTGAAGGACCACAGTGACGAAAGAAAACAGTAAAAAATTCTTGAGTGACAAAGACTGAAAGTGAATGTAGACTATGAAGACCATATTGATTGAGACATTGCTAAGTGTGAATGACCTAATTTTAGTAATCTACTTGTTTTTCTTAAGCTATTAGATGGTCTTTTCCGTGTAATGATTGCCGATTGGCACCTTTGTCTACTATAGACTCTTTCTTTCCTCAATTAAAAGCAACGGCAAGGGTGACTTGTCCTTCGCACCTGGCCATCGCCTGGAATATATTGTCCTTTCACCTATCATCCATTGCAGCCAAAGATAACATGTGTCAAATTTCTTGTGAGTATGAGGATGCTTTACTTTGTTCAAACTCAGCATATACCACGACACAGTCAAATAAATGACTAAAGTCAGCTTCTACATGAAAGAGAAAGAATTTCAAGCTTAGACTCGGTTACAGTTGACGTGCTCATGGCCTACAAAAGACGTCATCTCAATCAGTTCGAAATATCGTGGAAGTGACCGAATCGATTATAGATTTTGCGAATGAAAACATTCTGGTATATTGTTATGATTGGTGTATCTAACTTATTTTGAATTAAAACACATTGATGTCAACCAGTAAAAATAATCCCAGTGTATTCTGGATCAAAAACGCTAGAGTACATAGGTAAAATATAATATAAGAGATTCCATGGATAAGGAACAGATATCGAAAACCAAAAGTGAAGTCTACAATGAGAAATTTAGAGAGAGAAAAATAACAAGTCAAAAGATTGAAGTTTGGTTATTTTTCTAATTCCTAATTAAATTTGCTGCTCACTGGTATATTTTTTCTCGTACATAACAGATACTTACCGTACTTAGAATATGTAGGTCAATTAATATGTTCTCGAGAGTTTTTACTTTTCTTTTCCCAGCGGTAGACTGAGGAACTCCAAATGGTCATTTCTAATTTACTCCCGTTAATTTCAAGGTCACCCTAAATTCGTAACTAATTACGAAGCGTGTTGAAAATTAAATGACCTGTCCGAAGATGTCTCCTTACTCTTTTCTGAACACTTCGGGACTTCAGATGGAACGTGAAAGCTTGTGGTCTATGCGTAGAGGTGATCGAGGGGGAGGCCGTGCGGGAATGATACGCGTGGATTATTTTACACGATTTCAGTCGGTGAAGAATTCGTGTCACTCCGCAGCTTTGAACGTTCGACTGTTGCATGTAGTTACAATACAATAACAGTAGATTTAATATCTTCGAGAGAGCGATCGATGACTGGGCTCCACGTCAGTTCTCACTTATTCCTCCCCAGAATTGCATACAGGGTCTGCCTTTCTCTCTCTAGGATTGCTCATTCAATGCCAAAGTGATGATTGCAGCGAGTACTACGTACGTCGAGATTTAAGAACGTCATTAGATCTCGAGGTGATCAGATTCTTAATCATTGGATTACTTAACCCCGAGTTATTCTTCTTCTAAATGCATCCCCTACGTTGGCGACCCCGGCCCCTTGACGTGGCCGGCCGACCGACCTGGTCGGCACTCCCGTCGCCCGCCCGCCACATCGAGCGGCCGTGGAATTCGCCCCGCACTGTGTAGACGGGCGGTACTGTACAATTCTCGTGTGCCATCTTCTCTGGCTCTACGCACATGAGAATATGGCCGCTGATGTATACACGTCCAAACGCCTGCCAGTCGTCAGACCCTAAGCTTTTCGAAGAGTACGACTACATTTGGTTTCTCGTTCCTTCCTTCTTTTATGCAGAAGTTACTCGAAGAAAAAAAAGAAAAGATAGAAGTGCATGCTCGAACTTGGGAACACAAGAAAGCTCGAACGAGGAAACAAGGAGGCATACCGGTGGGGACGGATATGGCGACCGTTTGAGAATCGGAATAACGTCCGAAGTCGATGATCAGAGGATGGGAAGAGGAGAGAGAGAGACATAGAGAGAGAGAGAGGGGAGGGGGGAAGGGAGGGACTATCATTTGAAGTTTCGAAAGACATCTACAGTGGTGTAGCTTTTTGCCCGTCCGCAGTGCTTTTGTCGATGATCGATATCAGTCTATCGAAGCAAAAGATTTTGAAGAACTCGAAGCACTCAAAAAGCCTGACAGGCCAGTTATAAACAAAATCGTAAGCGACGCACTCATGCAGACTATCTGCAAGAATTTCAGAGGGTTCGAAAAGTCTAGAGAAAAACTTTTTGCTGTACTTGGGACCCTCGGGGGCGGCTCGCGTCGGGTCGGGTCGGGTCGTACCGTCCAAGACACAACTACCACTACCGGCACATCCTTCGCCACCTCCATGTTCCTCAATCTAATCTACTCTTAAAAATTATCTTCTCAAGGTAAACTTCACATTCCTCCCTACCTCCATCCCTTCCCCCCTCCAAAAATTCTTCACGTCCCTCCTTCATCAAAATTTCTACTCTACGATTGTCTTTTGGTTGTAAACTTCCCATTCCTCCCTCCTTCCCTTGCACTTCAGCAAAATTCTCCTGCTTGGGCATTCTATCCCTATTCCCAAAATCCAATCCAGTTCTCACCACTTCACAGGCTTCCAAATCTCTCCGCCCGAGCTCGACAACAATCACCAGCTTTATCACGCACCTCCGATCGCTCGCTCGCTGCGCAGATCTAAAGCGAGATCCAACACCAAGAACCCTTTTCTTGGACGGCTTCATCCGCTGCTGCTGCTGCAGCAGCAAAGCAACGAACGAAGCTGTCAAAGTTGCCTCGCGGGCTTCCTTTTCTTCCTTTTCTTCAATTTCTGCCCGGCCCCTCTGTCCGGCCCGGCCCGGGCGGGGTGGGGTGGGGGCTCATCCCATGCGGGTCGCGAAAAGCTACCGCGCGCGGTAGCGACCTGGTGGGGCCCGCCAGGCGGCCGCTGACAGGTCAATCAAGACCGGTACGGACGAGAGAAAGCGAGCGAACGCTGGACAAGAAGTCGCGACGGTGGCAGTCAGTTTAGGTCCGCCGAAGGCCGCGCGGGGGCAACGGCAACGGCCGGCGCAGTCACCGATTGCGAGCGTGGCGTCTCGCTGCGCGAGGGCGGGCGCCTGGCGCCTGGCGCGACTCCTCGAGCTTTGTCGTTCGCGACGGCACGAGCGGGCGTGGGGCGGGTGTCAGGGCGCTGCGACGCCGTGATTCGTGGTGAATCCCCCACCACAACAACAATTCGAGAGCCATCGCTCGATCGCTCCATCGCCGCAGCTGAGCTGAGACGAGCTGATCTGAGCGGAGCTGAGGGGAGGGGAGGGGATTGAGCTATGCCATGAATGCTTGCTGCTCGTCTGATGGGGCTGGCTGGCCTGACGGGGGGCGGGCTGTCTGCCTGCCGGATGGGAACCGAGACATTGGGAACAAAGTGGAAGGGAGTGGAGTGGAGTGGAGTGGAGGGGAGTGGAGTGCACCGAGTGGAGCGGCCACTTGAGAGAGCCGAGCGACGGAGATGTCTGATGTCTGATGTCTGGAGCTCCCCATGTGATGCTCACCAGATGTGGCGAGAAAGGCTGGACCGCGGAGTAAATGAAGCGCCTGAGCTGGATTCATATTTTAGGGTCGCGTGAAATGTCTTCTCTTGCACACAAGTCGAAAAAACTGCTCTCGCCCTCCCTCCCCCTCGCTCGTCTCCTCCCTTGACCCCTTTTCTCTTTCTCTCTCTTGCAGCAGCAGCAGGCAGGACTGCGCAGACGCCAGTCCATGTCACGAGGAGAGAGAGAAGGAGAGAGAGAGAGAGAGAAACTTTCTCTTCGAACTCGAAAGAAAACAAGAGAGCGCTTCCCTCTCTCTGCACTTCTCGGGACTTGGGTCAACAACAGTAATGAGTGCCCGGCAGCTCACATGGCCCTCGCTATAGTGACATGAGTCTTTCAATGAATTCTGCGTGATGTTGCTCGCTCGCTCGCTCGCTCTTGGGTCTCTTTCGTTGACGGGTTTCTGGTCAAGAGCCGGCCAATGGTCGCCCCGGTTGTGCATAGCTACATGGCACTGTTTGTACAGTAGCCTAACACCCCCTCATTCGACCCTGGAAATGGCCGTCGCAGGCTTCGTTGGAGCATGTAGCCAGAGTGCACTCTGCGTGTACCGTAGCCTCGTACCCCTCGCTCACCATGAAAGCAGCCAGCAGATGGCCCCCGCTGTACAGAGGACGAGGTTTGACAGGTATTCGTCCCGTGAGTTCACGCCCGCCAATCCATCCATGGCCCGAATGAGCTTCGCACACAGTGCCGGGGTGATTGTCTCTTCCTCGTGTATGAAGTGGTCGACTGACTTTGCTCTGATGTGGGAGTGAGTTCCCCGTGTGTGGCTGCCTACCTCTCTCTACAGCAAAACGAGTCCAGATTTTGACCGATCGATGGTTGCACTCTTGCGACACGCACGATCGCTCGTAGCATATTCTCCAATTGTTTCCTCCAACTAATCGGCGTGCTGGTAGCATTAAAAAATTGTGGATGATTTGCATTTCACCGTGCTTGTACATAATGATGAATTCAAAATTCCAAGTTGGGGCCATCCTGAGGCCACTCTACCATACTCTGAGCAAAGAACTCTACAAATACCTATAGCCCAGTTTGCTGAAGGCGCTTGAGCTGTTGAGAAGCCGGGCGCGCCTAATTCCTTGGAGCCGAGGAGCTCATGGCACCTCGTCCCGGGTGGTAAGACGTCAAAAATGAGTGGAACAATTTGATACATATTCCAGTCATACAGGTGAAATCTGTCTGTTTCTTAGCCGTCATTTACTTGCTTGACTACTGTTTTGACAAATGTATAATACACTAGGTCGTGAACTCGTTCTCGCAGAGCGTATCATAGATCTGGATGCGCCCTTTTCCGAACAGTTCCTCTGCTCTCGGATTTCGTGTCGTTCGAAAGACTTGAAGCAGGAATGTCTGATCTCGAGAATTCCTCTTTCATTTTGCTTTTACTTGCAGTCTCCGACGCTTTTCCCGTCTCCTCTTCGTCTGGCCTCTCGTTTGTGCTCAGGTTCACTGCATCAGGTGGAGGGATGGAATCTGGAATTATAGTTTGTGCATCTTCCATGTCCTGGGCGGTGTCCACCATTGCCCCTCTTCCGTTCAGCTGTATACACCACAACATCCATGCGATGCAGATGTAGGTGTTAGCTAACCATACTGCTCTGCAAACTCAGCCGCCTCCACGTGACTTTTTTAGGAAAACCAAAAACCAACTCGTGCGGGGAACAGGAAGTAGGTCTTACTTGGCTGTCATCTGCGCTTACGACAGAAGCTACCCCTTCCTCCTCCTTTTTGGCTCCCTTCTGCTTCGCTCGCTCCAAATTTTTGCCATGCAGTTTGGCCCTCACCTCAGCAGGCAACAGCTCCAAGGGAACGACACCTTCTATTCCCTGTTCTGCAACCTGCATCAGTTGGAAGTCATGCATTGTGAGGGAGACACCAGATCCATAACGTACAATCAAAGCAACTTTAAAATTACGTAAATCCTACCTTTTTGTAGAAATCTACTCATTATAGAAGTGCTAATAAGGGTAACCTGACTTCAGTGAAACCAGGGTTAGTTTTAAGTCAATTGACAAACAGGATTCCTCTAATTGGCATTCGCTCTTCTAAATGAGCGAACAGGCTCTGGACGGAAAACGGTCATAAGACCTCGAACAAGTCATCCTTTGTACAAATGCTTTGAACCGTTGGGAGAATAAGGGTCACAGTTAAAGGCACATATCAAGCGTGCCTTCTCTTGATCACCATCGAGATAAGAAAGTAAGGCGAGTAAACGAACCAGTTCAAATGCGTGGTACGAGCTCAATCATCGGAACGAGGACGAAAAATTGTATTGACTTAGTCCAAGGTCAACGCAAGGACAGACCTTGCCCATTCACCGCTTGAGGTTGCAATTGAATAAAAGCTAAATATTGTGTTCTAATAAGATACTCCAATTTTGTTTCTATTTCCTCCAGCTAGCGTAGCAAACTTTTTCCTTGCAGTCAGGAGGGCTCCTACTTCCCCGCCGTCCGGCTACTCTGTAAAAGCTGTCTTCCGGCTTGAGCAACTTTTCAAACCGAGGATTGCAATACCCAATGCAGAACACAGAAGATGGAGGAAAAATTAATGCAAATTGATATATTGGATAAAATACAAAAGAATTGACTTGTGTCAAATTCCACTTGTTAGTAAAGAAAGAGATAGAGGAGCGGAAGAAGCTGGGAGAAAACGCTCTGCGAACTAGAAGAGCTTACAGAAAAGATTCAACCTTCCTAATCAGGTGTAGCTTGAACAGTTTTAGTCTTCTTTAAACCAAAGATCCCCACAATAAGAGGTACGGTTTGAAAACAGAGACAGCGACTGAGCTAAATCAGATAGAACATAAATAGAACGTGGTGTACTACATACCCTAGAGAAACCTTCCAAATCTTGTCTTGCAGCAAATCTTAGGCCTTTCCAGCAATACACCTGCGATATCAAAGCCAAATTCAGACCAATGATGCACAGTTCTGCATCTAAAACTTCAGAGATTTGGATCATCTTAGATCATATTATAGTGTATATGTGAATGAAATGTTACGATCAACATCTTGGTCACTACTTGAGAAACTTGGCTAAATGAAAACATTGATCAATAGTAATATTCTAGCATGGCATTCTTGGTGTCAAAAAGGGCATACTCGATTTTTCTTGTGGTGGTATTCGGGCTCGATTCCTGCTGCAGGATCCATCTACAAGTTATGGTAAAAGAAAAAAGTCAGACCAAGCAATCTAACATCAGAATATAAGAGTACTCTGAGACAGCTTACTCCTGCTTTAAGAAATTCTTACAAATCCGAAATTGAAGATATATGAGCTGTGAGTAGCAAAAAATTACAAGCAGCAGACGAGCAGTAAAGGTTGAACAACTTAGAAAAATTGCAGAGCCCGAATCAGAGTCGTGAAGCATATCAGGTGAACTTGTCATCAGTCAAAGCATACAGATGTAATTGACCATAAACTACGCTGTAATAGAGCATGCTGTAACCTAGCACGTAGATGCGACATATGTGTTCAGAGTCGTCAAATTCCACTTACATCTTCTGCAAGAGGCTTCCAGTATTCCAAAACGGAGGGGACCTTCACTCTTGAAATATCTGTCAGAGCATTCTTCAAGGCAGAATGGAAATGATCAAATTGCAGATTAATTGTATAGCACACGGTAGAATTGACATGACATCCTTACAGGTAAAAACCGGACAAGAAGTTTGCAAGATGGCACCACAATACAGAGGTCACACCTTGTGATCCTCCCAACGCAAAGCTGCTTTCTGTCTTTCCAATGTCCAGATCCTTTTTGACGCCAAAAACAAAAAATGATAAAAAATGATGGGGATACAGCTAGAAAGGGTACACCTACAGGATTTGACTCCGCCCATTTCCACAGTTGAGAAAGCTCTTTGTTCCCTAGTCTCCATCTTGTCCTGAGATATTTGCACCGAAATCAGGTTAAATGTCCGGGTTGTGAATACACCCGAGGTACTTGGAAAGAAGACACGGCATTATTTACACAATGTATTTGCGATATAGATGCGGATTTGCAGGTCTTTGAAAGAAATATCACCAGACCTTCGTTTAGAATCCTGCACAGTTTTGCGTTCATGCACAACTCTCTCAAAAGGTGGGCAACCATCTCGCTTCCACCAAACCTACAACAATTATAACCGTTAAGCGATCTCAGTAACTTTCTTTCATTGAAATCGCTATATTTTGCACATAAGCTCATGATACAGACAAACCTTATTGAAAGTCCATGCTTTTACTCCAAGGAGATGTGTTTGTACAGATGAAAAACAGAACTTTGTCATCAACCCCTCTTGATCTAAACAGACCCAATATTCCAGGGGCTTCTCGCATTGAAGAGGAATGTGAATACGAACCCAGTTTCGCTCCCGCTCAAGAATGTGTTCAATAGCGGCAATAAACTCCTTTCCCTTTGGAGGTGTAATTTCCAGCAGTTTTCTAACATGCTCCTCGTGTGTTTTAACTTCTTCCCGCTGGAGTTTCAAAAAACATCACAAGACTTTCAGAACAAGGATTTGCTCTACTTATTCCAATTTCCCTAATTTCAGCAAGAAGGTGAGTTTATCTTGTGACTTTCTACGTGACGCTGAAATTGCTCACCAAGCTCTCCCTCGGACCTTCCTTCTCTGTTTTTCCAGGAGTCTGAAAGAACAAACGCAAAACAAGGAACTTCGTTATGGACAAACCGTATGAGAGTTTTGTGTTTTTCCTAGCAAGTCACTACCAACATCCAATTTTCTTACAAAACGACGAATAAATTTTAGCTGAACATATAAAGAGGAACTACCATCGATGAATTCCACTAATGCCACACCTTGAGATAATCGAAGACAATAAGACACTGGACAAGAATGTGGCGCCGAAATCCAGGATCTTTCAGCTGAAACAGCACGCAATCATCAGTGGCAAGAAAAAGTGGTACAACGCTACAGTCCAAACCCGAAATCATTTGAGTTACATCGCAGAACGACTAGATGATATAATGGACCTACACAAACGGTCGTACTGATTTGAGTGTTACATTCGGTCGTTCAGCTTGATCCAGCCGATTCGCAGGAGCAGACGAAAGTGATATATTAAGGTTATTTATGATGGAGTAGAGCAACCACCTCTAGGCTCAAAAGGTTACTACTGGTCAGGTACTTAATGTTGAACGTTGCATCATCTTCTTCATCCAAATGGCTGGAACTTTCATCTTCATCGCCGAGAGGTTGTGCTTCAAAGGTTTGCAACACCGTCTGCAAACAGTACGAAGCAAGAATTTTAGTTCCTAACTATGGCATTCAGTGAAGCTTTAACTTGTATTTCATGCCTAACTTTCGGTTCCCCGATGTATTTTCGTGTACTAACCCATTCTACCTTAACATTCGACAACAGAGGTCGACAAAGCATCCTAGATTTGAAATACTTGAAGATCCCTCTTATGTACTTCTGTGAGTCTAAACATGTGAAGGCGAGTGCTTAGCTATTCACATAAACTGTATCATACGAAAGGCATTATGTGATTATAAGATTAGGGCATAGTAACGGACGTTCTAAACTTGGCGTTCACCCTGACATCTAGGACATCAAGACACAGCCAGTGGACAAATGCACAGGGAAGTAAAGAACACGCAGCACAAGGATGTAATGAGAATATATCTAGAAGAAGATGTGAAGCCAGTAAGAAAAGGAAAGAAATCGATCACAAGGAATAGGCTTAATTGCAAGCACGTAACGAAAATCCGTAACATCCAAGAGAGGGCCCATTGCTAGAAAGTGGGCATTGCTCGGTGTGGTAACGAACGAAACTGTTTTCCAAAAAACGACATGCATGGTAGAAGAGTACCGCGAGACTTGTTGAAAACGCCTGCCACCTTGCAGGATACTGAACAAGATAGGCTGGATTGCAGAAGTGTTCCTGCAGATAGCAGAAAAGCATAATCATCAGAATGCACCCTTGCTAAAAAATAGCCGCTCAAACATACATGAAAGCCCTCAGCATTCGAAGTCAGGACAGAGCGGCGTAACAAGAATCTCGTTCCCCACTTCCAGCAACAGCTGACCTACAAGTTCACAATCCTCTGTCACAAAATTTTCGATCTGTGTTAATGAAAAGCTCACCTGGAGACTCCAGAATATCTTGTAGAAGTTGAAGTCGAGAAGCACGCCTGCTGTATATTGGCACACCAAAACCACATAAAGAGTTAAATTCAACACGTTTGCGAAACATCTGCAACATCTTTTCAGGCAACCTCCAAGGGCTGGAGATGGTATCTCCAAGATCGAAACTTGATCTTCTTCGAGGTCAAAGGTCAGAAGAAAGACTTGCACTTCTGAGAGTCCGAGATGAAAAATAGGGACTTGTATCTTGTATAACAGCGAAGTAAGCAACCTTAGTCTCTTGATTATTTTGTACGTCATGTACCTGACCTCAACACATGCTCACCTTCCAAACCAAAGTGAATTCACTTTCCACACCTCAAGCGGATAGATTGTCATGTCAGATTTTACCCAATCTACCAACTACATTGAGTGGCGTTGCAGAGTTCGTTACAGCTTTAAAACCTGGTACAATGGAAGGGTTAACAGTAGTAATTACCATCAGCCGGGGGGTCTTTTTCGTACTTGGTCTCGTTAGACGTGTTGAAAATGCCTTTGATGTTGACAGCTGCAGGAGGAAAGGATTCACGGAAGTAGAGAATAAGCAAAAGGAAAGCACATACCAAAAAAACGCATATTACAAGCTGACAGAACATCTTACAAATCCGCAACAAATACCGCAACAAATATCACAACATGACGAGTCTTGCAGGGATATCGTACCAGAACGTTCGGATAAAGGGAAAAAGTGAGCCAGAAACATGAGGATACGACCACAGAAGACTACATCATTGGCCTGCACGGCAGAAAAGTATGGTCAGCGAAAGCATCATACTGATAAACGATTATTCGGCCATTCCAGTTCGCAGAATCAGACAAATAGGTATTCTTAAAAAAAACTAAAAAAAAAACTGTTACACGTACAAATGCGGTGAAAAAACTAATCAATCCATGCATACTGAAGAAAAAAGTGCAATTAGTTTCACTAGTTTTCCACCAGAGTATTGTAAGCGTAACGTTATCACTCACAAACCTATAAATCCGTACGCCAGTTAGCAGTAAGTATGCTAGATAAAACCAAATTTACCTTGGAAAGACGTCGAAGGAGCTGATTGCAAGTTCTTAACATGACAAGCTTACCACGCCCAAAAAGCTCAGGCTTCGCAATGAAAAGACAGCAGAATTAGTTTCGAAATTGATCAGATTAAAACATTTGCTTAAACATGCCTTGATTAAACGAATAACTTCTCTCAACCAAAAGTTTCTTCAGATCCCTCCGGACTGCTATATCAATTACCTTGCCAAGAGTTTCTTGTTTTCCTTCAATGTATCCAAAGACCTCCTTACAGTCCTTTATGGTGGACACTTCTGTCAAATCTTCCAGCAACTGAAAAACCATACCTCCTTCGACATGACCTCGCTCGCATAGATACAACACAATATCTAAACAGAGAAAAGAAGAATTAGGTGTCGCAATAATCCAAGACCAACAAAGCGTGTAGACAGGGAACTGCAGCGAGGAAATATGTACCTCATACCAACTTAATGGGTAAAGTGCCTATTGATCGCACGACGATCAAAGCCAATCAACAAGACTACGGCATGAAATGGTTTAATACATACAGAAAGTGAAGGAGGCAGTAGGTGTCAATGAAGAAAGTTAAAAGTGACATTGACGTTCACACGAGCCTGTTAAATAATGAAAACAATCAATAAGATGTAGAAGATACAAGGACCTTCTGCTCACCAAGAAGCCGTGTCACGAGACCTCGTCCATCATCTTCTGGACCTGTTAACCTTCCAAGATGCATTACTGGTACTTCCTCTGTCACAGCTTGTACCTAAGGAGCAGATCATTTTCCACAAGAACTGTGTCAAATTGGTGTTCAACGATAGCAAAACATACCATAGAAGCGACATAAGGTGCCAATTTGTACAACCACAATACTAACGGTCCATTTGAATTATACATCCACTCGGACTCAACGAGGTGAGAATGTTGTTATCAAAGGAGATGCATGCCAGAATTTTCGACAACAGATCTAACGTACAGGTCAGACACGATGGATCTCAGATTGAAAAGCAAGTTAAATGATTCAAGATCAAAGTCATAAGCAATAGTCTAGTAGGCTTACGAAGTAATTCACTCCAAACATAACATTGCCTTCCAGGTATCTGTACATATTACGTCCACATAGTTACGAATAACTTTGAGCATCTATACAGGCTTCCAACTGTAGGAGAGCCCCATAGATAAACAATAGACTGAAAGTGAATCTCTATTTGATTAAACATCGACAAGGTTGACAGTCGGATTAAAATTACCACAAGTTCTTCAAGCAAGGTACGCAAGCTGTTCTCGAAAAGCTGATTCTCATCCTGAATAAGGACCGTTTGTTTCTGAAACAAACCCAATTTGAAAATGTTACACATGAATCTGCACAGGAAAACAAGGAAAGACAAGCAAAAACTACCATAACATTTGTTTCAGCCCCAGTTAGCCCATCTTTGGTGGCTCTACTCCTGAAGTGATTGCATTTGACGTTAGTTTAAATAGATACAACACCTACGTAATTGACAAAGGCCTTGAATCGAGGCCGAGGAGCTTGATCCGGAAAGTTTCAATTAACGTAAAACGTTGTCGAAGCAAACTATGCAAAGCCACACTCACCTGAGGTTTCATGGCATCTTGCATTGCGGTCAAAGCAATGCTTGCTGTGGAAATAGGTCTAGAAATAACATCCTTAAAAACCTCCTGCGTTTCTCCAAACGAACAAATTCGCCTTCGTTAGGTTCATTATAGAGTATACAAAATGATTTTCCCTTCTCGTTTTGTCAGTTGTCTTGCCAGTCTACTTCTAAATGCTATAACCTGGTAGAGGTAAAAGGTACAGGTCTTCTGTAACCAACTTGACGACTCAGGAAGTTATAAGTAGACTTATCTACTAATATACTTGCCTCTGCTTGAAATACGCTCACGTGCAGATGAAAGCAATCCACAAACCACCATAGTTGTGGCCCATCCAAAACTTAGCTGTGGACGAACTTACATTCAGGCGGATCGACGACTACTGTCGATTTTAAATATACAATCAAAATCATATTGTCAATTTGAGTGAAATTCTTTTGGCGTCATGAAGAGATGTACGTACATCCACATTTTTAGCCTTGATATTCTTCGCTTTTAACGAATTTAAATTATCGATCTCCATAAGACTTTGCGCTAGCTTCTTCTGCTTCTTCTGCGGGAGTCAATCAAACGAGTACATAATTAGCAATGAGAAAGACACAAAACATCTTTCTAAATAGGAATTTATACTGCTTTGCAAGTGTAAAACCCATACACCCAACAGAGGTGGTGCCGCTATCCCGCAAGCTGTACTCATTAGTACGTTTCTGTCATAGCTTCGCTATCCTGAAGAGATCTGGTACATAGGGAAGATGAGATGAAGGTAGATGAGAAACAAGAGAGGGCGAGTTTACAGTGACAATAATTTCTCTGTCACCATTATTTGTAGCATTCAATGAGATTCTTTTCGAGGAACGTTTACTATATCATACACCTTCCCGGTTGCAAAAGCCACAGTAACTATATCACAAATGTACCGCTGCTTCGGTCTTTAGGACAAGGTTACGTAGGTCCGTAAAGAGCTTGGACTCCACCAGAAGAGCAATGTCAAGAAACAGTTCCCACTGATGTGAGAGGAAAAGCTGAACTCCACCAAGTAGTGGACAGAAGTTTCATCCTCCTGACCACACAGTAGCACGTTGAGGATTAGTTCCCCATCTTGATATCTTTATTTCTGAGAAAAATGAACTCCATTCGGAGCTTTAGCTTAATTTGTGTGTCTCCAGACATGGAGCTCCTTGGAGATAGTGCCTGCAGATGGCGGGTTCGTGGTCTAACATGGCTTTGGCGATATCTCGTTTGCGGTATCCACCAGAAAAGAAAAAGACAGTTAACAATGAGACAACTCTATATTATGGACAAGGTACTTCACAGACCCGAACAGGCCTCGGCATCAACAATCCAATGAGAAGAACAAACACTGGACGACGAACGTCAGCTCATGAAGTAACCTCATGGCCCACTAGACAATGATCTTCTAATCAGCTTATGTTAAAACGCTCCATGAACGCTATATAGGTCTTCAGCGACGAAAGCATCGAAATCGCAAAAAATGTGAGGGAAGGAAACGTGGCCATGTCTTACAGCACTCTCTTCTTCGAAATACTTTTCCTCCTCAAATTTTCCGCCTCCTTCCTCCTCTTCTTGTACGCCCTGCATTTGATAATTGCGACTAGATCAATTACACGTAGCCTGTTCTCAAATGAAAAAATAAAACGTGATTGATCATTTAAATATACTGTCTATAGTTCAACACTTCAAACTCACTCCAAGGGGTAAACAGCAGATCAATTCCATGCACAAAGATGCTGAGCTCAGAACTTACTCTCTTCAAACTCCGCAGTTTCGCAGATGTGCCAGCAGCTGTGCAAAGTAAACCACTACATCAGAGGCTGACTACTTTGTCTTGAAGCATGAAGATAAAAAAAGTTAATACAATAAAATGAACTTTGGAGTTCGAGGTATTCAGATCAGCATAATTGGACTCGATCCAGATAATCCTTGTAACTAAAGAAAGTGAAAAATTTATTATAGAATTAGAGATCAATGACCAGCTTCTGGGTATATCCACAGTAGGGCCTAAGGAAGGCAGAGAGTGTGCGTATTAACATTGACGATAACACTGATAGGACAAGCATTTGTTCTTCAAAGAAGAATTGAAAGTAATGTTTTTAAACTTGAAGTGATTGCGGTGCCAACTGACACAAAGATGAAGATGAAAAATAAATGACAAAACGTAGATCAACATTTGATGCTCGTGATCAAAACCCCAAATTCAATTGCCATGGAAAAGATGTAAATGCACGGATTGATTAATGTGCACCCTGCGGAGAAGAATTATAATAGGGAGCACAACAAAATACTCCAAAAACGTCTCAATCCTCGTCGGGTGCACAGCATCCTACCCATTTCCTCTGAATTCGAGAAGTAGCGTCGGCCCGTAGGCTGGTCCTTGAATTTCCCTCTACCCGCCCAGCTACTCATTGCCGGGAAAGACAGAAACAATACTGTGACACTTATGTTTTAATTTGGGGTTTCAAACACCGAACCAAGATTTCCTCCTGAAAATCGGATTTTTCGAAACAGCGCCCACTTCCCTCTCTCTGCGTTGGAAAATTTGCATACATCAAAACAACTGCTAAGCCCAACCAAAATCAAACCTTTCCGAGCTGAACTAAATCACCTCTCGATTCAGAGTGCACGGTGCCACGAGCCGGCAGTTGTCAACAAAACTTTGAGGGTACCAGTATTTGATACATACCGTGGACACAAAAAATCGATAGCCTAAGCCGTCATGAAAATTCCACCGGTGACAGTGATTCCTGACTCCCACAATGTTCAAGATTCGCTACGACGAGGCTCCATCAATTCCGCCATTCCGTGTTTTCACACTCGCTACTGCAGTCACTCCCAGAACGCAGATTGTCGGACCCTCTCCGTGTGTCAGTTCCAGTCTGTGTGAAGAAAGCACTGCCTAAACCCCGTAACTCTCACAGAAAGAACTCGTGCAGTCAATTGCTGCTCTCGCGTGTACAGCAAACTTGCACAAACGGTCAGTTCATGGAAACCCCCAGACGAGCTTTCTTGCTGACATGAATTGCATTTCGTCGAAATTGTCGCGAACGCTCTGCTCTGTCTGCAAAATCTTTTCTTCGTAATCTCACTTATGGTAGAACAGAGCAATGTGACTTTTCCTTTGTGATCACACTCACTGCTTCATTGGTGAATGTTTCTCGTGAGATTTCTCTCTTTAAACTGCATATGCTTCACATTCTGACTGGGTCCTTTCGAATTTGAACTTGAAGTTCAAACTACACATGAAGTTTCATTACTTGACGGAGCAAGCAAGTTGCATGATATGAACAATGTCAATGTGGGCTCTGCATAAATACATATGTGAGCTCACATGATATGATCCAACGTTGTGTTACATATTCTACAAGTTTTGATTTAAATCCACCTTCGAAAATTTTAGAAGTTTAGTTTAAATAATAATTAGTATGTATATATATAACTAATTTTCCTCAATAACATCGTTTTTTTAATATAATCAACAAAGATACAAAATATGCATTCATTCTATCAGCCATAAATCATCCGAGTGCAATTATTGTATATTAAAAACCATACACGGCATCCATAGATAAATTGTACGTAAGGGTTTATCATCATCTTTGTTGAAGTTTTTGTTGACATCGAATTAAATACATTTCCTTGTTTCTTGAACAAATAACGGGTATTCATATCATTAATAATTAGCAGGATTCATTGATCTACTTTTGAGTTGTGTTAACAATCTGCTGAACTAGCTGATAAAACCCTTAGCAACACAGTGGTAACTTTCAGGAGGGCCTCCTTGTACACGGTTTGACATGTACGTGAAACTGCATATATTCCTACTAATCCTTTATAAATTTTGTACTAAAAATTTTCGATCTCACAGATATATATATATATATATATATATATATATATATATATATGTTTTCAAAATACATATTCTCTACATTTTTTGTCTACAATGTGCATTTTTTAGTAAGTAAAAACATCATTACACATTAATAATTAAAATGATTTAAATTACTTAACGATACAGTTATCTTAAGAACTTGGTTCTCATATTTTCATAGCATAAGCAAGCACCGTAAACATTCTATCCCCTTTTATTTTTTATTCCGAGTAAATACTGATATCACTCATGACCTGTATATTTTATTCCAAAAATTATATAATTACATATGAGCGAAGGAGGTTCTGTCTAAAGGAAAAAAAAAGATTTCGGAAAAATTTGTAAAAAAACATAAAATTCATAAAAGACTTTCACACAATTAAATTGTATACAGGTTTATCGGTGAAAAAAAGTAGTTTTTGTAAATGTATAGTTGCACAGTCTAGTCCTCCTATCTCCTTTATATCCTTGAAATATTTCTATATCAAAAAAAAAATTAGAATACTGATAATTTAAACAATTATAATTGAATTTAACAAAAATTATATCATACTATTGTGAATATACCATTTTTTAAAATTGAATTTATATAAAATCTACATTGGGACATTATACTCAAATGAATATCTACAAAAAAAACTTAAAGATACACAAATTTTATATTAGAGACAAGTCCATGTACTCTTGATAATTTTACAACTTGTTTGAATTGATGAGATTTAAAAAATATATAATATAAATGCGATTGGAAATTGAATTTCGGATTATATATATATATTCAAATATCTAAAAAATATTTTTAAAACTTTAAGCCATTAAAATGTTTCTAAAAATGTTAAAGCTTATAGAAGTTGACATGCCTATATAGAAAATACACCTTGTGAATGTATATGTTAACACTACTCCTTGTTTATTGAATCGAAAGAAATACCTACACATCATTATAGTCTGCTATGGTGTTTGTAATGACAAGCTGCTATGTACATGATTCGTAGAGTAAGCTTGTTCTGTATTACACATCAAAAAATTTAACTCATTCAAAAGTATACTATCCTCATGGCTTTGGATCTAAAAGTTATCGAATAGATGATAATGGATCTTTCTCATAATACTGAGAGAAGAAAATCAATATTACTGTTTACTGATTTCTTAAAAGATCCCTATGTTATCTTCACATGACTAAACCTTCAGGTATTGGAATCAGTGAATATGATTATGAGAAGATTGATGTGTAGTAATAATCATGTGTTATTGTGATATGTAATATTGTGGATTCAATCTAGAAAAATTACGATATTCTCTTCATGTCTCTTTTAATGAGGAAGAGATCAAAATAATTATCTATTAAATCTGCTTCTCTCCTTCAAAATTACAAAGATTATATTGGAGAAAGCCAACAATAGTAGAATATATATTGACAAAATTATCATACGTTAGATACATCTTGGAGATGAGTTTTAGAGAACATATTTTCTAAAATTATTTCAATGTTATATTGTAAGTTATGATTACAACTGAACATATTATTCATTATGTTAAAAATATCAATTCGAGTTTCTTTATTAATGGATGCTCCAGTTGTGAACGAAACTAATTTGTGATTGAAAGATATCAAATAGCTCAACGTAGTCATAATTGTGCAGTACGGCTTCAGTTTTTTATGAAAAAAACATTTGTTTTGCCATGATCCGTTTTGTAGCTTACTTCGGATTGTATGTGCACTTTTTAGTACATAATACACAAATTTTGGATATCTTAAATTTAAATATAAAAATTTTATGATCAGATGATTTCAAACTTTTACCTCACATGCTTGAGAATAAGATGTTAGAGTGTAAGTGATAGTATCTTTTGAACAATTAAAGTTTCAGAAAATATATAATACATTAATATACAACTTAAAATATTTTGGAGTGATAAGGTCCAATAATTTGTTTCTCGCGAATTAGACATAACCCTTGTCACATATCTATTGCATGTAAGTGGTAACACTTTTTCATCATAAAAAGGTGTCATTTATGTAGATATGTAATATGTCGTCAGATTAAGTTTTCTCTGGTTCTGCTCGTCGATTTATTGACCTACTTTTCACTCTTAATCTTGCACATATATTTACGCTAGACAATCTTCCAGATGAGATCATGAGCTGAATGAATTTATCAAACTTGACGTTCAAATGATAATAAATATGACATCCAGGCAAACAGAATTTTTGCTTTATAAATACCCTATGATTAGTGACATTATCAAACCTTCAAGTGAATGAAAAGAGAATTGACATTACATAATACTTTGCCGAAATTTTTTATGATGGGAATAAACTCGGAAAAAAAAAGTCGACAATTGTAGCAACTTGGATAATATGGCACTCTTGTAATTTGTCTCCTTATTTTGGTTTGAGATTGCACATTTTTTAGGGGCCTGATGTATGAGGGGATGTTCTTCACTAGATGTGACATGGAATTAAATCTCTCACTGGCTTGGATTATCCATTTGCATCAAGAAATGATATTGATAGTGATTTGGTCAATGCATATTCAATTATACATATGATAATTGAGACTATAGTTCTACATTTTATTCTAAATCTCTCCATGTGTTTTTCCAAATTAGTTACGTTACGTTTTTTGTTGCACAAAGAGCACTACCATGCTCATTTCATCGTAGAGCAATCAGATTATTTGAATATTCATATGTTGCTCTAACTTGTATGTAGTATGATATACATAGCTATGATATCGAAGGTATGTATAGCATGTAATACGGTATGTATAGCTATCACATGATATGACGTATAGCTATGATGTCACAATGCAATATGACGTAAATCCACGTTTGGAGGCTTTTCGTTAAATCCCCCTGCTTTCATCCCTTTTGCCATGCTGACAGCGCTTTTTCCATCGCATTAAATATCCTAAATCTCACGTTTTTCCCCTGGTGGATGCTCCAAGCAAGACGTATAAAGGCGTATCCACTTGGCGTATCAGACGTATGAAGATTGGCCAAAGACCGTGGGAGTCCACCAACGGTTGACCGGGTTCCGTCCGGGAGACCGGGGGATTCGGAAATTCGGAGTTGAACTTTGGAATCGGGAACGAGGAGAATGTGGAGATCGCTGTAGTGATGACGGGGAGAGGCGAAAGCGGAAGGGGGGCAGACGGAGGAGGCGAAGTCCAGTAGCCGGTGGCTTTTCAGACAGAATGCAAAGGCCGTATCGTTTCATGTGTAGAAGATGACGTGGCAAAATATCCTGATCTAGAGTCCGAAGTGGCGGCTCGCGCGAGAGTCCGGAACCATCCACGTGGCCGGAAGCATGTTGGGAAGACAGAGTTGGTATTGAAGTGGGTCCGAAGCCCGGCACACGTGGCACTCTTCCTCTTAGGCCGCTCGCTCTGCTCCGCGGCTCCGCGCTCAGGCGCACGCTCCGCAGCTATGGCATCGTCGCTCTCGATTTCCCCTCAATTGTCGTCGAATTGCTTGAAGAGCAATCTGCAACGCGCCGAGAAATTCGTGTGCCGAAGTTGCTCGCAGTTCGGCCGAATTTTGGCGCCTTTGAAGCTCAGTTGCAGGGGAAATTCGTCCAACATTGCCGTGCACAGCGTCGTCAAAGGCAAAAAGAGGATGAATGCCGTCGGAGCTCCTGTCGTCGCCCCGATCGCCCGATACGCTCCGGGAGATGATTTGCCCGAAGATTACACCGAGGACGATCCTACCAAGACAGCGCTGGAGAGGCGGGCGGGCATTTTGATGCACCCCACCTCGCTCCCGGGACCCTACGGCATCGGAGAGCTCGGCGATGAAGCTCTTCGCTTCCTCGATTGGTTGAAAGCGGCAGGTTGCACTGTTTGGCAGGTGCGTGTCAGTACGATCCTCTTCTCTGCATTTTCGATGACTTTCAGTTCAGGGATGGGTGTACATTTTATGTTTTTTGGATGGTCAGAATGGGACCACATCAGGATTTGCGTGGTTCAAGTCCAGGATTCGGGATTCATCACCGAAGCCGAAACCTTTGGTAGCTTTTAGTCCTTCTTCGTGGGGTCGCTGTGCATATTGAATGGTTCTGCGTGTAATGACGACGGTATCGTCTGTGAATCTCACTATATTTCTGCCGCCAAATGCGGACACTGTCTCTGATTGCTTATGTGCACAATGCATTATCCAGAAAGGAACATTCAAGTTTGAATGAGCGTTGGCGATCGTTTCACCTGTTATTGTACAATTATCTGATTGTCTTTAGGTTGTCTTCAGCTGGTCTGCAACCTCCGCTCTTGAATATTACGGCGCTTGTGATCTGATTCAGTAGCCATTAGATTAGCAACAGTCACGAATATTTCTGATACCGTAACAGGTATCGCTTATCATTCTTCCAAGATCGTAATGACGAGCAAAGTTTAGCCAAGATTTCCGACGTATTTACGAAACTCAATGCTCACATTCTGATTTCTAACCTGTAAAAATGTTTGTGATGCGAAGGTACTTCCTTTGGTGCCTCCTGGCAGAAAGTCAGGCGAAGATGGATCACCTTATGCTGGCCAGGTAATGAGCTGCTTGGTGCTGATACTTCTCGATGAAAACTTTGAGTTGGGTTATACTGTTGATGAATTTCTACGTAGCGGAACATGAGATTTTATTAGGCACATTCAGACTACGTTAAGACGACTTTGTCCCCTGTTTCTTACTGGACATTTGTCGGGTTACTCAAAAACATGTGTGAGCTAAATTGGCTCTATTTGCCTGTTTCAGGATGCAAACTGTGGAAATACTTTGCTCATATCTCTTGACGAGCTGGTCAAGTGGGGACTGCTGGACAGAGCAGATCTTCCAAGAAAAATGTAACTATCTCTACCTCACCAAGCAACCCGATGACGTTAATGCTCACTTGCATCATAACGGGTTAAGGACTGATAAGTAAATAAGAATGCAGATTGAAACGAGGAGTACTATGACATGACTTTGAGTAAGGAAGATCTACGGACTTCGTTTCCTGACTTTCAGTTGCGATTCAGCTCACAAATTTGGGTTGAGGCTGTGATCTCTTTGTCCTTACTTCGTAGCCTGATGTCTCGTTCTCTTGGTTTCAGACCTGTTAACCGCATCGACTTTGATGCTGTGGCCAAGGTGAAAGATCCACTTCTCATCAAGGTAATTCACTTCTGCACCAGTGTGCACCATTTCTTACAACTTCTGAATCATCATGCTTTAGCCTCCTTCAACCATTTCTTTGATGATTTTTTAATATTTTTCTTCTATCAAAGTGAGATTTGATGCAGAGAAGATTCTTAGACATTTAATTTTTTGCTTTCTTCAGGCTGGGAAAGCACTTATCAAAAGCGACGGTGGACTCAAAGAAGAAATGGAAAAGTTTCGGAAAACTCCATCTATTTCAGGTACTTGGAGTTTTATTGCATAGTTTTCTCATGAACAGCTTAGGCATGAAGACTTAGTATCAATTCACATGGAGAAATCAGCCCCAATTCTAGTAGATCTAAGAAAATCTGAACCTACATTCGTTATTATGGTTCCTAGCTTGGTTGGAAGAGGCAGCTCTATTTGCTGCCATCGACAGCAACATCGACGCCAATTGTTGGTGGGAGTGGCCATCGGAACTGAGAGACAGGAACCCGAAAGCATTAGACGCCGCCAGGAAGAAATACAAAGATTATGTAAGTTCCACTTCGTAGTCTCTGCCAACTTTATTTTATCTCCTTCAGGCGCAATGCACTTTTAGGGCTCTTTGAATCTTCCATTGTTTGAATCACCGGGTTTTTAGCTTTAGACCACTACTTTGAAAAACCGAAGGTCTAGCTACTGACAATCAGATGTTCCCTGCAGATTGATGTATTTATTGCACAACAGTTTTTGTTTCAACGACAGTGGAAGGCAATTCACAAGTATGCAAATGAAAGTGGTATAAGGATTATTGGAGATATGCCAATTTATGTTGGAGGACATAGTGCGGATGTCTGGGCAAACAGAAGTTCTTTCATGCTGGTAAGTGGAGTTTTTTATTCTGTGAATGAAATCTACCATTGAAGTAACTAGGGTGCCTTATGTTGAGATCGTCAAGTAGGTAAGCTGTGCTAGTAGTGAAGAACGAGATGGAAGAAACGAGGAGGGATGATGCAGGAATAAGATAGGACTATTTAAGAGGGAAGAGGCTCTCCATCATGCAGGGGTCTGCTCCCTAGAAGAGTTTCGTTCGAAGTTGTCGAGTGTGGGCTTAGAAACCTTCACCATCTCATTCAACTGCTTTTCATATGACCTCAGAAAGGGATTTCAGGAAAGAGCGATCGATGTCGGCTTTTAATCTAGATTGAGGGTTTCTGACCTGAGCGAGATTTGTGGTGCAAAGTCGCTTTCAATCTTCCCTAGGTGTTGACGTAGACGATTCTGAATAGAGGTGCCGTCCTGTTTGCCGCCACTTGTGCAATTTGTAGAAGTTCCCCAGTATCTTGCTTTCCTTGTGGTTGAGAGGCATGGATTTGACAGACTCACGATGAGGACAAAGATTAGAATTCCAAGGAGTCGGGATATAACGTCGATACAGAGAATGCAGACTTTTGATCCACTGAAAGAACTACTAGTGTCAGTTAGTGAGCTTGAAAATAGAGAAGACAGACTTACGAGGAGGACAACTTTGTTCACAGGATGAGGATACGGGAGAACCGACCATGGTCAGTGGTGTCCCACCTGATGCCTTTAGTGACGTCGGCCAACTGTGGGGCAGGTAAATCCAGAAAGTGGTAGCGTGAGACATAATCACTTATTAGAACGCTACCTCTCGTCGTAGGTTGTTCTATTTGCCTGTGCAATTTACTCGTATGTCTACTCTCTCCTCAGCCCTCCACTAGCTCTTTCTCAATATGTAGCACAGAGAATCTGGAACTTAGCATTCATGGATATTTGGTACTTATTGGCTCGTTGAGGCCCCAAGTTTGACGGAAGGCTTCTCTTGTTCATTCAGTCCCTTGTACAACTGGCGAGCTATGGCGAAGGATAACTATAAATGGTGGGTAATGCGCATGAGACGAGCATATGATCTCTATGATGAATTTCGAATTGACCACTTTCGAGGACTTGCAGGGTATTGGGCTGTGAAGGCAGGTTAGTGTACGATTCAAAGCTGTCCCGTCAAGTGTTTTGCACATTAAACTGTAATGTAAGGTTTATATTATTCAAAGCCCCGTAATGGGATTTTAAGACTTCTTTGTGCTGTGATTAGGAAGTGAGCTTGATCTTTAATTCTTGCTCTTGATCAATTGTCAAGCTCTCCACGATAACCACCGTTTCTCTTGCTCTGGGCTCTCCTCCTGTAGGTGAAGCAACTGCGCTTAATGGTTCATGGAAGGCAAGTATTATCTGACCTGATTCTATTTGGCTTAGACGTCTTTTCTTAGAAGAAGGCAGCGTTTGAACTGAGTTTTGTGAATAAACATGTAAGAGCTCTATTCTTGTTTTCTTGCACCAGGTGGGTCCTAGAGAACCATTTTTTGAGGCCATCAAGAAAAATCTTGGAAAGCTCGACATTATCGCAGAGGACCTGGTAAAGCACTCTCTTCTAAATTGAATACTGTACATTAGCATGTTTCAAGCAACTGCAATAAATAGATCTTAGCAGTGGGTTACAGGACAAGACTATCACTATGTCGCAAGTATGCACATGTTGAGTTGCTTCTGTGGATTTGATACGAGCAGTTCAAGTCTTGCTTTTTTGGAGACATGGACTGAAGTGTTAACTTGTTGGATCCGTAGGGGATCATAACAAGTGATGTCGTTGCTTTGAGAAGGGCTATAAAAGCTCCGGGCATGGCCGTACTTCAGTTTGGTAAATGTCCATCCTCGGAAGAAAGTTCATATGAATAGTTTGCTACATGAGTCATGCCTCCTATGGACGTGTTTGGCTAAGAATATAAGTGAAATGAGCAGATCAGTATACAAGAGTAGCCAGTGATCAGCATAGCTTAGTGTTCAATGAGCTTGCTTGTATACAACCTTTCGCTTTTGGCTTTACTAACATTTTGTTTTATTACTCTGAGTGCAGCTTTTGGAAGCGACCCACAAAATCCCCATCTACCCCATAATCACGAAGTTGATCAAGTTGTATATCCTGGAACACATGACAATGACACAGTACGTTTGAACCTCTAAAGGACCACACGCACAACGAGAATAAGTGGAGAATTAGAGAACATAATTACTTTCAGCCCATCTTTGTCCGTGATTCATTGTGAGCAGAACTTATTCCAGCGTTGCAGTTTGGGAGGAAGGTATGTCAATTAAATGTCCTGGATTCTGCGTGTTGCAGGTTCTTGGGTGGTGGTTGAGAATAACTGACGAAGAAAAGGAAGCTGTAAGTACTTCCATCTTTCTCCGGGCTCAGGCGGAACATCCTGCGGCTTAACCAGTTCTTGGCATGTCGTGTTAAGCGTTTTTCCATTTAAAACACAATTGAGTTTCCATTAGTTGATTCCGAATATGTCAGAGTACTGCAAGTCAAAGTAGCACTCACTGCTTACGGAAAAATGGTTCCCCATCGAGCATTCTGCAGGTCAAGCAGTACTTACGACTGACGAGTGACGAAGATATCTCATGGGAGTTCATTGGAGCTTCCTTGAGTTCGGTGGCACGGACAGTTATTGTTCCCATGCAAGATGTTCTTAGTCTTGACAACTCAGCACGCATGAATACTCCTGCTGTCCAGGTAAGCAGCATTTCGTATAGCTTTTTCTACTCGAGTTCTCTTTGATATTGACTTGGGCATTGAGAACTTGTCAACAATCATCTCAATACTATTCTTAGTTATCCATTCCGTTTAACATAGCAAGAAACATTATACGAGTGACTTGTAATTTGATATGTTGCTTTGCAGGCTGGCAACTGGGGATGGAGAGTGGGCGAGACGGGAGTATTTATCAAATTGGCCAAGGAGAAAGACCGTCTACGTGCTTTGCTAAAGTATTATAACAGACTGGCAAGGAAGCACTACTGCCCCATATAGTGTCATCAGTCCGTCAAGAAGCAGTAACTCCAACTCTTGGGCGGGCTGTTGCCGCGCTCATATGAAACCCGAGAGAATGGGTTCACACTGGTGTGTGGATGAGAGGCAAAATTTTGACAATGTAACCGGGATTTTGTCTATTTGGCTACGATGCAGGATTATCCGCATAATTGTTTGCTATACTCATTGTGTGGTGATCACAGGGATCAATCGTATCATGTAGGATGTATAATTGAAACTTTGATGACTGTGCCGTAACATAGGTGCATATCATATGCATCAATTTAACAGTTGTGCCAAAGACTTCATTAACAAAACAAATTAAACACAGGTTTTTTGATTATGCCAAACTGGTATGTATTTTCCTGCCTCAATTTGAAACTATCAATTTTTCCTCGTGTGAATCTCTTCTACCTCGTGCAGTGCAAATTATAAAAAATAGGAGAAACCGCATCACCATCGTGCAAAGCGAAAAGTATGGCTTACACTCACTCGCTTACTTACAATTTCATCAGAATATACAAGAAATTCCCTTCGAATGATTTCAATTCTCCAATTAGGGAATCGAAGAAATAACAGTAGAATGACAACCAAAAGCCTTGAGGATTCGTACATGACCTGAAATAAAAAGCTCTATGGCAGATTACGTCGCATGAGTGTTCCTTCCTTGCTGCTAGGTTGAACGACTACTCAAGAATTTTCACGAAGTGTGAAGAAATGACTTAGTTAACTTAGTTAACTAAGTGAATTCTATGTGCGCAAAGGAGGCTTCTCCTTGCTCTTAAGACTGTTCTCACCACGATATATAAAGCACTTATCTTGCTGATACCTACAGTATTACATCAAACTGTGCTCGACACAAACGCCTACATTGCTGAAGGATATAAGAGCTCCGGCACGTGTAAACAGCCGAAAAATTGAAACCTCAGAATAAGGAAATAAATATAAGCTCAAGCCTGGGCCTGGAGTAAATCCCACTACATAGTACTCGCCTCTTGGAGGAGATTTCAACCACTGATGCCTACTCGCGTTACATACACTCAGCCATCACATGTTTAACTTAGTTCATCATGTTTCCATACAGGACACCCTGAACAAAGGCGAGGTAAACTAGTCGACATTCACTGATCACGGAACAAGGCCCACTTCCCCCGCAGTATCTACTTGATCAGCAAGTCCTTCAATACAGAAAGCTCCGGACCAAAAATCACACCTCATGTCTCGTGTTAGGATGTGACCTAGAGTTAAAACATGTGATGAATTGGGGGCTAGACGCTCAAGAGGCAGGCCGGGGATGTACAACCTCGGGGGCTGTAGCGATGGCATAAGTTGATGTATTGTACCTTACCAGCAATAAAGAACAGAACAGAGGCATGGCATAGCATCCTGCTGAAGGGATTGACAAAATCCAGCAGCGGAAAATCTGCATGCGAGTTGCGGAAAAGGGATGCAGGCAATCATCATCCACAGGAGTAAATGCATATGTCAAGAGACAGAAATTGAACAAGGTCAAACGAGTACATGCGCACGGTCACAAAAAAATTGCGATACGAGTTCTTTGTATTCGACGCGACGAAAGGAACTCGTGACTTTCTACAAGATATACTCACGAGCATCCCTCCATCCTCACATGCTCCTGGGTGTTTCACCAGTAGTACCCAGGTAAATAGATTTCAACACTGGACCGCGCAGGAGTTAAGGATAACTCCAAAGCCAACAGGACAGGGGGAGAGACTCCACAGCAGCTGCCAAGACCAACTGTAGATATTGTATAGCAAAGGGTTAACTTGAAATGTACCTACAACATCGAAAGCCCTAGAAAGGACAATCAGGGCCAGAAGTACATGAAAATTATATCCTCCACGGAAGCAAAAGGTGGCCCGAGCGAGTTCTAGTAAATTGTAAAAATTACTGTCTCCCCACACAATAAACAATACACATAATACAGTCACCTCCCTAATTCATCAACCAGTGTTGTATACTCGGGACCAAAGCTACATAAGATATATCTAGAAAAATTGGTGGGCACGATTAGAATTCACTTCACACATTACAATGCATACATATTTGCCAACTTTGCTCAAAGTTTCACTCTCCATTCAACCTCTTGAAATTCATGAGATCTTCTGCGAAAGCCACACGTATGGACGTCGTGACCAAGGATGGATGAGCTCACATCGACTCCTATATCAGTTCCGAAAATGGGCCCAATTTCAACAATCGAATTCGAAATCACCACAATCCAAACTTCCCACCAGACAATGACGCAACAAATTGCGTACAAAAAAATCAGTACCTTGGACATCACCAGCCCAGGACGATCTACATTCACTATATACCCCATGCAAGAAACCTACGGTGCTTGTGGTAACAGAGAGAATATATCATACTATACTGCTCACTATGCGAGTTCAGTTAGATCCCGGCCAAGAAAGCTCAAAGCGAGAAGACAACCATCATATACTTTTGCTTATGATATACATCTAGGAGTATTGGATTGCCCTAATTGAAATTCCTCGAAATGCTGAGAGCTGAGAATGATATCGTCATGAACGTCATGGCAAAGCGCGTTGTCAGCAGGCTTCATTAAACCAGCAATCAAGAGCCGAAAATTTTAGATAACGAGGTTCACTCCAGTCTAATTAGTCTATCAATCTATCAATCCTACACAAAAACATTGACTTGACCCACATCAGAGGATCATGTACTATGAGCTCGTCAGGCTAGTTCAAAATCGACCGATCACAAGCAATTCCTTGGATTGTTCGGGTATATCAACTCATAGGTGCTTTGAATAAAATGCCTTAGAAGTTCAAGAAGTGGCATGCTATATTGAAAGTACGTCCCACGTCGTCTCCACAAGTCCACAAGCGGACACCAGACAATTGGGAATAAGTAATCGAGTCAAGGACAGCTCAAAGCTCTCAGAAAAATGGAAATACAAGGCTTTGACTCTTAATGCCGAATCATGTAAAAAGAGTTGAATTTGAATCAGGTAGTACAAATACTGAACAAACACTACCCAGGGTTCACTTCCGGGCGAAAAGGCGGCCGTTACAGTACTATCAGAGTCTAATCCTACAATTGCACTTCGAGCTCACTTCTGTCCAGAAACCTAATAAATGTTGCACATAAACTGCGGTCGGTTTTGATGTACACTCACCCTTCTGTAACATAGTTTCTGGCTGATTTTGGAGTTTCAGGTCAATCCAACAAAGACCGACAGCGATTTCCAAACCGTATTAAATAACAAAATCTGCTCACTGGTTCGCTTGACCAACCAGCGACAATCAGCAGCTCAACCGGAACCGACAATGATGTTGTTGATAGGGATGAAGATCAACTTCACGAAAAAGCCGATGAATCCCATAACCACGAACCCGAGGGCAGTTCTTGCTGCCACTTTGGTGAACTCTCTCCGGTCGGGCTTGTGGCACCGCTTCACGAGCCGGATGCTGTCCTTCGCGAACTCCTTCACGGGTCTCACCACGGTATCGACCGCCTCCATTCTGAACACTCCCGCTCTCTCTCCACGCCCGATCAACAACCGCCCTCCCTCCTACCTCGGCGCAAAATCCCTCCTCCTCGCCGATCGGCCTCCTGGAACGCGCAGATGGATCGAAAACCCTCGACACAACAAGAGGTTGCAGGCGCGACCGGCCGATCTCGACAGCTCGAGGAAACGAACGCCAGGCTCAATCAATCGGAGCTTCGGACGGGCGAGGATGCGATCACACAGTCGGGCGCGCGAGCAGCAGAAGGCAGCGAGCGATGGGCAAGCAGCAGCAGAAGACGAGGCGAGACGATGCGATCCGAGTCGAGGCGGACGAGGTCGACCGTGGTTCTACTTCCCTTACGCGCCCGGACGCCGACGACCGCTTCCTGCGCTGGCTGCTCTCGGTCGACTCAAGTCATTGGGCCCGGCCCGAACCGAGACCAGGTTCGGCCCCGTCCACCTCGTCTGGACTCAGGGCGGCAGCGGTCAACGACCGTGAGGATCATCGTGGTATCGTGACCTGTTGAGTTGGCTCTCCTTGGCTCGAACTCCTCCTGTTCTTCGATCACGCTGCACTTCTGGGTTTCGAAGGTTAAGTGAAATGGTCAGGTTTGCTGCCTACTCGGGTTAACGCCAATCAACATGTAGTTCTGGAGTACATGTGACCAAATTGTGGAACACATGGTCTTCGCGCGTCTCATATACGAAAGTGATTCTGAGTGATTAATCATCCATGTGTCATAAAAGATGAATGAAGATGAAACATCCAAAGTATTACGTATATGTGTGTGTATGGATAATGTGTATTCTAAGTTCTACACTGAAAGTAACCAAAATGTAATATCACATAAAATGGGAACGGCCAGTTATCAATCATTTAGGGTTAATTAAACTTCACTATACTTTATGCAATTCTCTTATTGGTCGATGCAATAATAACTATAGTATGTTCCATCAATCAGATAAAAACGTATAATAAAGTGAGAGTTAATTAACCTTAAGTGAGATATAACTAGCCACTCATTTCAAATATATGTGTTTTTACACATATAGTTATATATGTGTAAATACACATAACTGTGTGCATGAACTCTAAAAATATGTCAACAATACAGATGAATGATTAATTGTGAAAAAAAAAATGAAGATCAGCGTACTTAGTGGCTCAATTATCAGTCTATTTGTTTTTTAATAACTACTTCAATTGAAAAAAGTTAACATCAAGTAGAAAACACTAGCATGTGCAAAACACAAGAGTACAATCAAGTATTACTTAGTACTATTCATAGAAATGGGCACTTTCTATATTCTTAAAACTGTGTGATATATTGTAAATCTCAATGTCTGGGATCAGCCACTGTTACCGGTTTAGTCTCCTCAATGGTGTACATGATGGGTTCTTCCTATACATTTCAGTTATGCAATTTTAATATGGACTTAAAAAGTACTTATTAGTCTCTGTGAGGGCCTTGTCAGTTGCTCGGTCCCTATGCAATTATTGGCATGAATAAGTATGATGGTGGGTTGTAGCCGGTTTCCGTGGAACTGATTGTAACCTTTTGTGCTATCGTACAATGACATTTCGATGCATTGTCAGTTTTACTTGGAGGATCCTACTGTACTGTCATGCTGTACAATGACCAGACCCTTCCTCGTTGAGCCAGATATTACGGACAGAGTACGGTAAATTAATCCACTTTCGGAGTATAAACCCCTTTACACATGATAACAATGATTAAATTCAACTAATTTGAAGTTTCTCTAATTTATTACTAACAGTCAGATTTTATCTCAAAGTTTTGGAATTTTCTTAATGCGATAGGGACGGGCACTATGACTACACCATGTGAAGAATTCACCAGATTATAATTTGAGCTATTGGTATCACGGCGTCGACCAAGTGGCTGGAATTTATGCGTAGAGATCCGTAGCTCAAGGTGAACGCAGTTAAGAAGAGAAACCGCAGACGAGGAGCGACAAAATGTTCTTACCTACTTACAGTAGAAGGACGGGACGGACGAATATTCGCGGGCTAGAGCGGGCAGGTTCGGCGTGTGCGCATTATGTGCCCGACCCTTCACATCCCGTCCGCTTGCATGTCGCGACCATGTCCGCCCCGATGATCAATGGCCTGCCGCCGTGACTCGCTTCCAGGCTTCTCATTGGTCCGCAGCAGTCGGGCAGCGTCCACATTGGACAGGGAGTTCAAGTCTCCGTGTCCGACCCTGCGGCTTAACTCGGTAAGTTTTAGTGGCCTTCGAAGGCTTACCGTGACCACAGTACACAACATTCCTTCCTCTCTCAGACTGCGCTCTTCAACTGGACTGATGTCGGACATTCACTACACCCTGGGCAAAGCAAAAGGCACAAAGTCTCAGATCTTGGGTCTTGGGTCGGATCTAAGGTCGGTGAGCTTTAATGCCGCAAAAAAACTTACAAAGTGAAAGGGGTTCAAGTACTAAATAAACAGACAAAATGAAACCCCGGGCCAGAGGGATTTTGAAAAATTAAAATATGTTAACAACGGATGCGTTGGAACGAGTAACAAATGACTAGATAGCAATAGTATGACAATGAGAAAAATGTCTGTAAGAACTACAAATATTTTAACTATCTACATCAAACGTTGTGCCAAAAACACAACAATCTTACTCAACATCATCTAATTAGATCGTTTGTCTTTCCAATGACCTAGTGATCTATCAAGAACCAAAAAAAAAATGTTACCTGAAATGACCTACACAATGATAAGAAAGTGAATGAGTTGACTACTGGTATGGTGATCAATTGTGCACTCTCTCAGAATAAATTTTGAGGTTTAGTTAAATGCAATGATCTCTATGCACATCCATATATATATAGAACTTGATAATTATACTTCCACTCTCAGTCCAACCAAGAAGATGGAATTTAATCGCTAAAGTAATTTATTCTTTGTGAAATTTATAACCATCGCCTTTGCAACTGTAATTTGATCAGTTGAATCAAATATTGGTATTTCCTAAATATACTTGAGAATCTAATCTTAAAAAATTAGAAAGAAAACTTGACTGAAATTTTAATTACTCTCACTACCCATTACATAACAAAGATATCTAGGAATTAAATGATTTCCACGTGACAAATGTTTATGTGATTGCATCAACATCATATCCCCACTCATAGAATTATTATTTTTTTGTTTATTTTTCAAATTGATGTTACTTCTGATAGAATAAAGAAACATATTGTATCATGCATTGTTATGTGACAACATGAAGTAAATTCAAGCTATAGCCATCACACAATGACAACATAGACCATAAGCAATCCAACATGTATCTCATACTACTTACGATACCACAACTCTTCAAGATCCTAAACATCCAAAAGATAAAACTTGAAAACTATTTAGCTATTTTTTCCGATCTCCTTTATTTCCCAATTAAGTGAAAATAGAATAAAAAACTATCAAAAACGTACCTCCAGTTTGAGAAAAATCACTGAATATATATGAATGTACAAGTTAATCAGCTTCTCTTAATATCCCTTTCCATAGCATCCATTTCAGTCCATTACTAAATGAGCCTATATTCAATAACTATAAGATTTATCAACCACTCTCCATCTGTGGCAAAATACAGTTACAACATGTCAAGAACTAATCCCACTATAATATTAACCACCCCGGACCGTTCCCCTCCTGTCTCACTCTCACTTCAAAAGGGGTCTCTCATACAAAACACAGAACAAAAAACCCTTAACCTTATCTAATGAATTCTTAACTTACAGACGGATTACTTTCATTTGTTTATCGATGAGATGATAAACATTCTTACTGTAATGAGGACATACATTCGGTTGAAAATGTTTGGTAGCTGCTAGATTTATGACTTGAAACTTGAAATAATAAACCGAAATTTACTGGGCAACCAAAGTTCGCAATTTCGACGAGAAAATGCAAAACATCCCGTAATTTGGACTGGGCTTGCACATCTCGTTTTGAACGAGTTCATAAATCTGTCCATACCAGATAGAGTATTATTATATTAGAGTATTACACTAGGCGGGAAACAAAGGACGAAGGAGGAAGAAAAAAGGAGCCAATAGTAACCAGATGCTAGTGAGTGGAATATCTCGTAGCGCTGCAATTGCTCCTCACGTTCAGGCTCCCAACGTTTCATCCTCAACATCCTGGAACTCCTCACGGCGGTCAGTTTCTGACTTCAATGGTCATTTTCTGACTTCAAATTGTAGATGTCGCGGGAAGAGTTTCCTTCTGTCTTCTCATGGAAAGAGTTTCCCATAGTCTATGCGCACCCCTAGAACAAATCCATCAGGTTGTTTCTTCAGGGTAATGCTGCCGGTGCTAAATTTCTGTTTGAAGTGTAGTAAGACGTGCTAGTCCAGGCAGACTCTGTTTCTCACCATCTACTACATCATGAGAAACTTGACCAACTGTGAAACTCGCATGTCATATATAAATAAGCCCCAAGTTTCCGAAGGGATCGGGGGTATAGAGTTCGGAAAATTATAATGTAGACAATCATGTAGACGAGTGTGTTACACAGCAAATCTGAACTTTTCATATTTTGGGGGAATTGGTGAACAATCGATGACATCAAGTTTTACTCACAGAAGGTCTTCGGCTCTCTAATCATCGTTCACGGATCATGGATATTGCACTAATCGAATCACGAGACCAATTTTTGCACTTCGAATATGGCTCAGAACTGAAACTTAACCAATACATAACCAGCCTGGTAGTGGAAAAACCGATAAGGATCCATCCTCTGAGGGCTAACTGCCGTGCCTACTGTCGAACAAAAGGAATCTAGGTTGAGATCTAAAAGAGAGGCGTGGACCATTGCCTTGTCGAGCCACTCAGCCTTTGATACATGTTTGAAGTCCGAGATGCTGCAAGACCCAACTAGGCACTAGGCACTAAGCAAAAAAACTTTGAGATTTACGACACAAAATCATCAAGATTAGAGATGCATCAACTGAAGGCTGCCTCAACTGAAGACTTTCTAAGATGTCTGAAAACGGGTGTGCAGATAACTGATGAGGCCACCGGTAAGCTTCTCTTGAAATCTTTATACTCAAAAAAAAATTAGGACAACTCTATAGCCTCTTGGAAGCCAATCCCAGCTGTATACAACTGGTGAACGACACCGATTCACCCTACGTTTACGAATGGTAACATCTATCTAAAGTTCTAGTATGGTGTGCCTGTCATTCCCGGGAACAGCTCAGAGATTTTATTGAACACGTCCATGACCTGCACCAAACGAAACCACGTTAATGGTGGTGTTTCATCCACAGTAAATTCTAACGCATCTAAAAAAGGTTAAGATCTAAAAGTCTTGAACCCTCAATGTTCCATCGATTCAACTCCCTCTGCATCATTATTGATCGAAGGTTCATCTCAGTTTCAACATTACTCTTCCTTGCATGACAATACAAGCAATTGAAGAGACAGAACTGGTATTTGAAATGCAGATAGAAGCAACACTTATTGCGATATTGATTGGTTTCGTTTGTTTCAATGCAAACTGACATGAGTATAACCCTCATGTTGGCGTTCATCAATGCCAAGCTCTTGTAACACATGTATAGGTGGCTCACTCCGACACTGCCACTTCAGTTAATGACTGAAGAAGTTATGACTGGAGACATTAAGGTAGCATGTTAGATGTGCCGTTTTCTGGATATTACCTCCTTGTCGTTCTGGTATTTGGTGATGTTCATAGGATTTTGCGAGCACTGTCAACAACCAAAAATTTCCCGTCAATATATATAGTCCGTAAAGAGTAATTTACAGAATGTCCTGCAGAAGTGCTAAACTTTGACATATTGAACACGAATTTCTTCTACTCTAAACAGAAACAGGCAATTCCATTACTTACATCCATGATTGCGGCCTGAACTTTCGGATTTTGAAATGCAACTGCGACCTCAGGGTTTGCCATAATTTTCGCAACGACTTCCTCTGGTGTCAGTCCTATTTGATCTGCAAACCAGATTCATGACCACACACACATATGACACAATTGCTTGTCCTTCCCCGTTGATGGTGTCTTCAATACCTTTCCACTGAAAAGCAAACATGAGAAATCAAGAACACCCAGAACATCAGAACGTACCAAATTGCTGCTTGACTTCCTGGCTGTTGAGGTCAAAGTTCTTCAGCATGTCTGACATGCGGTTGTCCCATGCTCCATCCCCTCCCATGCTATTTCTGATTTGTAAAAACAAGGTTCAAGAGGCATTTAAACACAGTGCAAGGGAAAAAGATATCAAATCCCTATTAATACATACTATTGACAGCTTAGCACCAAACGTTTTTGGTTGCATCTGTAAGTTGATGAAAACGATGACAAAACGTAATGATGATGACAGAACTATCTCATGATTTTGCCTGATAGTACTACTCCAATGACCGTGTACATTCCATAAGAAATCTGAAATCATCTAAGAATGTGTTTTGGGCTTCATCAAAATTACTATAGAAGCACTTTTCAATCTGAAACCTGAAGACAAAATGCGAGAATTAGTGAGAAACCGCATGCGCAATCGGAGTGAATCCAGCACAATATAATGACGGAGTGATTAACGGGCCATACAGCATATCTTGGAGCTGTTGTCTGTATTGTGGATTCTGCATCATCCCTGCAAAAACCAACAAAGACACGCTAAGAAAGAATACTAGATGAAGTTTAGTGTGCAAATGTAAGATTTAACCCATTAACGGGACTAATTTAAAAGACAATTCTGTTCACATACAAGAAAATACTCACACTTGAAGGTTGCGGGATTCCGCATTTCTTCCGGCAAATACCTGCCAGCAGAGCCACTACTTATGAACAAAATCCTTCTGAGCATGTCGACAGGCAACTGCCTTGAGTCCTCAAATGAGAAAAATATCCACGTGTTTCCTGAGGTGTCACATATGAGACTAGGCTGAATCTAAAAGAGCAAAAAGCTATGATATCTTACGGGTAGACCATCTTCTGAACGGTAGGATCCTCCATCATTCTTTCGAGAGCCTCAACTGAGAAAAGGGTTCCCTTTTGACCGGCACCTGAACAAGCGCAAGACGCACCAACCTTGATTGACTTCCCAGCAATAACGAAATCGGTTTGCAAAGCCCCATTTCGGACACATTATCAAGATCCTAAGATTTCTGCCCAACTTTCTATTCCCGATTTGGAACCCTCACATAGACGTAGTCCTGAAGTCAACTGTACAGGAACTGGGAACCAGAATTTCACCTTGATATGCACTATTTGCCGAGGCACCTGCATCACCGGTTCGAGCACCGAAGCCTCCGTCCATTACCTAAGATGAAACCAACCACGCTAAATCAACAACCAGATCAATCTTAAACTAGACTCACTGGCATTTTCATGTCATAGCCTGAAAACCATTTACCTCGCGTATTGGCTGAGCGTTACTCGTGATAGTGGATGTGAGATGATGAGCAGGCAAAAATGGTAGTACTTTTGCAGACGAAAAGATATTTTGATACAACAGGATTTCTCTTCGTTATAAGCAAGGTTCGTTCAGAGCTTCCAGTGTATCATCAAAGAACCGTTTGCGACGAGAAATCCTTCACTCCATTTCTTAAAAAGAGACTTTCCATCAGTGTCAACTGAAATCCAATATTCCTCCGTGATCACACTAACAAGGAACATGATACACGTACCTCAGGATCGGTAAAGAAGGGTCTGGTGGGTTCCTCAGGAGCTTTAGATGCTTGTTCTTTAGCTCTGGATGCTGCTTCTTGCTGCTCCACAACAAGGTTCTCATTCACATCGGTAAAAGTGAAACCTGCTCATTGGCAAGCCACCATAACGCAACTGAGTTAGAAACTATACATATTGATGCATCCAATGGATTAACGCAGGAACCTGACACGTGGGAGAGTGGAAAGCATTTGCCAACCACCTAAACATCCAGGCACAATGAATTGCACAAATTTCTAAGTTGCTCTCATCCAAATCCATTTAAAATCCGACAAAACAAAGGACACTGCTCTTTGATCAAGGACGGCAGTTTATCTACAAACGAGTTCAAACTCACGAAAGAAACTTGTACCAGTTTTTTGAGGCTCCACAGGTGTCGCCGTTGTTCCACGAGCTGCGGAAGGTTGGGAGGCGGCAGACACCGTAGTGTCCACTGGTGGTGCGGCAGCTGCTGCTGTTTTAGGAGGTGTTGGCATAGGGAAAGGAAAAGGGGAACCCGAGGACATGGGCGGCATAGGCATTCCAGGAATTCCACCAAGCGATCCAGGAAACATGTTACCGGCTGGCATACCTGCCATGCCAGGACCACCACCCATGCTCTGACTGGCCATCGTCTTGAACATTTGCTGCATGGCATATCTCTGCTTACGTCGAGAACACCCGCATTAGCACGACACTGTAATTTTAAGATCTCACGAATGTGGAGTCATGCAGCAAATGCTGACAACATGAAAATAACGTGGCGTCTTGGAAAACAGTAAGGGTTCCGATTCAGAAAAGCATCAAACTCGTCCTTGCAAAGCTTGAACTATTTACTTTTTTCTTGCAAAAAAAAAGATCTCATAATTTCGGAACAAACAGTTTACTACTGGCCTGCCCTCCATTATTTACGAATGAAAACCTTAGAAGTTTGGCATGAAGGGATAAAATATGAGAGTGTTTCCAATATCAAACGAAGTTGAGGCTTCAAAAGAATCTTGGATCGTTGGCATAACTCGGAGTGTGTAGCATAAAATTGAAGAAAAATACAAAACTTTCTTCCTATTTTCACATCGAAATCGACAAAGCTGCCTGGGTCAACTGCTTCGAGTAGAAAATCACCTTAAATGCGTTTCCGGCCTGCAGACAGCGGAAAAATACTGATCAGCTCGGTTTCTGACGACATTCATACCCAATACACAACGTGCAGTGAAAACCAAGATGGAATTTATTTTTGACTTTACGGTCGTTAGATACAAATATAATCTATGGGCAATCGAAGCCTGCTCTTGTCAAATTCTAAGTGACATCAATAAAATCAGATTGATGATAATAATGGGAGATTGAGTGTCCTCCATTTGATTAGGACTCAATTTCCCCACGCCAAAGAGAGACAGTAGACCTCGTAGCTTTTGCCAACTAAGATGCCAGCCAGAATAATCATGGCATAAGTCTGACCGTGACACAGAAATCTGGAAACAACGCGGAAGCCCACAAGACTCTAGACTCACCCATGAGAAGACAGCTGCAAGTCCCACCCCAACTCCAATCCATAATAATGGCCCACCGCTGCAGGATAAGGGCAAATCATCGTTCAGTAACCATAAAATATCCTCGGCTCAGTCCATTCATGTCGCCAAAATAAAGCCATAGAAGAACACGACTGAGCAGGAAAACGCTGAACAACGACACAACGAAGAAGAGATAGAATAACCAGCGAGAGTGGGAGGAGAAACAATCAAACGCCTTCCTTGATTCAAATCGACATGGAATCACACAAGTATATTCTTCTAATGCTTGACTGGCCACGGGCACCTAGATATCGATAGCATATTATTCTGCGATTTCGAAACCCGAGCAGACATCACAGTTTGCTTCCCACACAGATCCACATATTCAGGAATCGGCCACCGACATCATCGACACAAATCTTTAAGATAAATGTGTCTAATGGAGTGTAAACCCCATGAGGACTCTTACAAATAAGGCGACTGCAAGCTTGGGTCGACTCCGACGCTTTCCACGGTGCTCGCAGCTGAATTGCTCAAGGAGGTCTCTTGCTCTGGAAGGAACACAAGGCAAAATCAAGACAAGTGACGAATGGGGTTTAAGCGAATTCGAGACCCATTTCCACGAAAACGAAACGGGAATCCTGAGCTCTGTACCTGCACCCTTGGATTTTTCCTGTCCTCGGGCCATTGCAGTGATTCTCCACACGCCATCCGCATGCCTTCTCGCCACAACGCAAGAATCCACGCGCTGGTGTCCGGGCCTACTGAGCGTCCATCCCCTCAAACCATGTCTCCAAAGAATGGGCTGCAGCGGCTGTCCAGCGCCAGTCCGGCTCGCTGCAACTCCCTTCAAGCTGCCGCTGCCGCTGCTGCAGGCAATTTGTGCAATCGGTGCTGCTGGCGTCGCCGAGGCCATGACTGCTCCCCTCTACCTCAACGCCAGCTCCTCCCTTCGCTCACTCCGTTCTGACCAGCAAGACTATTGTATTCCCTCTATCCGAATCCGTGCCCGGCCCTCGCCTGTGGTCCAATATCTCGATTATTATCCGAATCCTTTCCTCTGGACCCGCAATCCTGCAATGTGGGTCTCCGACGTCTAATTGTGTCGCCGATTCTCCGTGCGCTTCTCGACGAAGGAAAAGCTCGACAGGCAAACCGAGCCCCCACCAACAAGACGCACTCCTTCACTGACAGTCTATTACCGCACCCCGAACCCTTACCGCCTCGACCTCTTCTGCTCGTATTTACGTTTCCGTCCCCCTCCTATTCCACGTCCGTCACCGCTCTTCCCCCGCCTGGCCGCCGCATATCTCTCCTAGTGTTTTCACCCTAAACATAAAACGGCCGTTTACTGGTTTCAGTTAAATGGCGTTCAGTTTTCACCTTCTTCTCTTTCTTTAATTTTGCTGGTGCGGCAGAAAATGGCTTCACAATTGGCGGCTGGTTTAATTTCCTTCATTATACTGCGCTTCATCTCTTTTGCACCGTCGCCTCTTACTGCTTTCCAGTTAAATGGTGGTCAGTTTCCACCTCCTTCTCTTCCTTTAATTTTGCTGGTGCGGCAGAAAATGGCTTCACCATTTGCGGCTGGTTTATTTTCCTTTAATACACTGCGCTTCATCTTTTTTGCACCGTCGCCTCTTACTTCTTTCCAGTTAAATGGTGTTCAGTTTTCACCTCCTTCTCTTTCTTTCATTTAGCTGATGCGGCAGAAAATGGCTTCACAATTTGCGGCTGTTTTATTTCCCTGCACTATACTGCGCTTCATCTCTTTTGCACCGTCGCCTGAAATTTGGGTAGGTCATCTTTTCCCGGTGGACTTTCTCCACGTTTGCGCACATTCATTGTCCTTTCCTCGTGCATCTGCACGGTCGAGGAACTCGCTTGTACCGTCTAATCAGTCAGACTCTTCTTGCATCTCTCATTGATTTGCGACATTTGAAAATCAGAGAGGAATCTTCGCGTATCCAATCGGAAGGATTATTTCAGTGGATTATAAATCCGCTTTAATATTGAGCACCCTGCCGGTCATATACATGAGGAGGTTCACAACTTTTGAGACTGGTCATATGATAATTGGATGGACCAGATTCTTCAAGTGATATGAGAATCAAACAAAGTAGTGAACCTCATTTGACTCGAGAACCGGACAACAATCTTGTTTGTGGAGCATATCATCGAGCGAGGTATCGTGGTAATCGATGTGACCTCGATCTTACACAAACCTCGGAGCCACATGTTTGTATCAACTTCTCTAAGTTAGAGCACTTTCTGCACACTTTTTTTCCGACTCAGAAAACAAATATGGAAACTTGGAAAAAATGCGGCGATCTTTGTTGTCTCTCCTGCTTTGCAATGTACATTCTTCGTGATGTTTGCCTGTCGCTACTTGAATTGTGAGAACCGAGAGCTAATACTTCTGAGTTGTTGGAACTCCTGCCCGTTTATAGCATGACAGGGCTTCTTTGCTTGGCAACTATGGCAGCGAACTCTTCCATCCTGCAGAAGAGCTCAAGGTCGCTGAGTCTGAGATTTGATTCTGGAATTGCGTCTTTGGTTTCTGCACACTTTCGAAATTTATGGCTAAAGGATAAGGCAGATTATAGGAAACTGAAACTGACCTGAAGGCTGACATTTGATGTATAGACAAATCTGGTGCGGCTGGCCGAGGTTGCACTGTATTCCGGATGGAAACCATAGAATCTTGTTGTACGAAATTATTGGTATTGTATACACAGAATAGTATATATATATTTTCCAGAATAATGTTTCATTTGAAGCTCTCTCCACCGCTCATTTTCTGTCCTTATTTGGTTACACACTAGTTTACATCTTTTCGTTTCAACTTTCTATTTAGTTTGTTTTCAGCTGTTTGCATAATTTTGTGCAATATATTGTGTGTATTACTTCTTTTACCAGCTCTTTTTCCAATTTTCAAATTTTATTTTCACCTTCCCTGGGCCACGATATTGTCGTTTGCTTTAAAACTTATATTACACGAAATTGTCGTTTTACTATTTTGATTTGTCTGCGCATATTATTAGCATGTTCCAGTGTTAGCGAGTGGTTTGAAATCATACTTTCGTCAACTAAACTGTATCGATGTACTCTGTGCCGCGCGATGATAATAGAAGACTTTGAGCAAGTATTCCGACATGTGCACCATAATCGGACACAAACAGGTGACAGAGGACACCTTTCTTCATTTGCACTTCGAACAGTCTCCATACTTCTGGAAAGGTTACTTGAAGTAAAGTAAATCGGAAAGAGACTAGTATATGAAAAAAATGTAACAGACAACAGGGAATGAGTGGAATGTGCTTCTATCAAGCTTTGATAAGATCCCATCTTCTACACAGGATGACAGACCAACAGTCTGTACAGATGAGCTATTAGAACTCTATTCTCCACTTCCTTGAATTTCCTATCAATACTCGTCGAGAGAGGAGACCTGCCCACAATTAAAAGTACATATCGGCTCTGGACTAGTTCCACATCTATGGGAAAAAACTCGCCGAATCGGATCAAGACCGTGATACATTTCGCACTTGCATGCTATTTGTCGTGTTTGAAATCTACAGGTGCCAAAAATTGACGTTACACGATGTATCACAGTTCTATGAACCATTTCCCGTTGGTGTCCCCGACGTCGGTGGGCTGATCACTGCTCACGGTCCTCGTAGTCAACAAGACACAGGCCCGATGAACTTCTTCACAGTAAGTAACCCAAAATTTGCTCTCGTCAACCATTTAAAGATCTGCCCGATCTTTTGGGGATACCAACCTTTCGGTGACAAGCCGACTAACGGTGTCGAGGTAACACCTTCCTAAGACCGAGATCATAAGATCACAACTCTTTACTTTTCAGTAGATTTGGAATCGGACTTTGTCGAGGACTTCTCCGCCTTCGACTTTTCTTCCTTCTCCAACTTCGCGGCAGTCTTCTTGGGTAGCAATAGCTGATGAATGTTGGGAAGAACTCCTCCGTGTGCAATCGTTACGCTCGCAAGAAGCTTTCCAAGCTCCTCGTCATTCCTAATGGCCAACTGAATATGTCTGGGGATGATCCTAGTTTTGCCGTTATCTCGGCATGCATTGCCGGCCAATTCGAGGACCTGCCCAATACAAGATAAAACCAAGGTCAAAACATGTCAACGCGATAGTGGAGCTCGACAATGCACTGAAAAATGGACTAATTAGCCAACAAATGTTACCCCCAACAACAGCACCAAATTGTGAAATGGGAAGATGAACACCGTTCTAAATTGCACACCCATATAAATGCTTGAGTTGAAAGCACTCAGAGCTAAAACATCTATCGAACTCGAAAGCCCCGCACTCCCAATACTCCAGTTCTTCGGCCTTTGATGCTAGATACAACACGATATACTATTGATAAGACGGCACCCCCAAACTATATCATCACCCGGGACGCGGAAGAATGTGATATTGCAAGTGCAGTCTAATCGTCTCAATTGACTAGTACGACCTTCTGTGCTGTTGCACTGGATGAGGGCAAACACTCTGGTTGCTCCACGAGGTGACAACATACTTCTGGCAGGACTAGAACAAGGAAGTGATATCTCGTACGAAAGAATACGAGAATAGACATCCCATCTGAAGTAACTAAGGTGCAAAAGACCGGAGAATCAAATCTCCACTTGTCATGGAGAAAGCTACGAAAGGGTGCAGGGGCATCACTGAAAGTAAGATGAAATTTCTATACACGGTCTAGCTCATGATCCCCCACAATTAACCTTCAAAGCCCCCATAATACGCTCTGTAGAAACAAAATTTCGCCCCAGCTCTAACATTCTCCAGGTTTTGCTGCACATAATTCCGCGATAGCCCTACTACGAGCACCATGTCAGACAGTCTTGCACCCTGAGCTAAGCAAGCAAGCAGGTATGCGAGCTAACCTCAGCAGCGAGGTATTCGAGCACAGCGGCCAAGTACACGGGGGCACCAGCTCCAACACGCTTGGCATATCGCCCGTTCTTGAGATACCGAGCCAACCTTCCGACCGGGAACTGGAGCCCCGCCCTGGCTGACTTCGAAATCGCCTTCCTCTTGGCCTTCGCGGAGTGCCCTCTTCCCGACATTTTTGCAAATCAAGTGGGTTTGCAGATGGATCAAGTGCTCAAGAGGAAGAATACGAACAAAGCAGGCACGAAACCTACGGAGTAAAATGCAAGATGTTACTGAACACTAGAACTGACCCGGGGCCGATGAGATTCAGGGAAATATTGCAAAGATCGGGAGGGGGATGTGAGCAAATGAGCGAAAAGCAAAATCGAGAAAATACTAACAATTGAGAAATGGCTGCCAGCACAGGAATATTTATATACAGGGGGGCAGCATCTCAGCCCTAAGTAGGTGGATGCCACTTCAGCCTGCCAGATCACCTGCCACTTCATCGATCCACGCCTCGGACCTCGGAACTCCGGTCGCCTCCGCGCCGCGCGATCTGCATCCGACGCCTTCCATCTCTTGCTTTCCGCTCTCGGCGCGCATTTGCAGCTTTCTGTCCCCCCTGCTCTCTTTTCCACGCGAGTTTGAATTTGCTCATGCCCGCGCGACACTTCACTAGTGCCATACTGTAGTCGAGTGCCGCTGACACCATCATCCTCTTAAAGTACATGCACCTCGGCCCCTTCGTTTTATATGAGCCCCGCCCAGCCCCCAGCAGTTACGTTAGTTTCGCACTTCTCAACGTTCCTTCCATACCCTCCCGTCCCTACCCCCCTGGCCCTGGCTCGGGCCCGGCCACCATTTTCCCCATTTCTTTAATCTGCTTTGTATACGAAGTACATCGACCCTCTGTCTGTTTGGCCTTACAGTACACCATTTTAAATCTTTGTTGCGACTTTGCTGCCCTTGTTAGCGAGAATCTGTGGGTACCGACATTATTGGTTCTGTACAATATTATATTGGTGCATGAAAAGCTATCCCATTTTGGATCGAAAGCGAAACTGATTAAGATAATTGACATAATATATGTTAAAAATACGTTTTTGTTTATGTATTTAAGCACTCAATCAATGCAAGCAAAGAGAAACGTAATTTCAATATCACACGTATTCAACACTTCTTTCCGCTTTTCACTTCAATCGAGTCTACTGATTTGTTCCCTTCTCCATTTCTTTAAACATGGTGACCGAACAATATCTGTATGGCCCGAATATTTATTGGTTAAGTATACATCCCTGCGGAGTTATCAGTAAACTAATCAATGAGATAAGCCAGAACATTTTTCTACACTCAACCTATTTGAAAGAAAAAAGTCAATTTGATTTTATGACGTCATAATCTAACCTAAAACTAACTTCTTAAATGATTACTTGCACTGATTATGTTATATAAAACCTAATTCTTTTTGACATGATGAATCGTGCAATTATTCAAAGAGAACATTTATGACATACGAAGAACACATATTGAGATTCTTTTAAACTTTCTTGAACGCAAATATACTTAGTAATAAAGTTCAGTAAATGTCAACAACAAATATCTTAAGTGGATGAATTACTTTCACACTAAAGATCCGGTGAAACAGTAGTAGAATAATGGATGAAATTTAATTTTTAAACCAAACAACAAATATATTACTATGTTATGGAAACAAACGTTTTTTGGCCAAATTTCACCAAACAATATCATATTCTTGCATATTGTATTCGTGATTGATCAATGTTTACAGAAATCAAGTAAACGTGTGAAATATCAGCTTATCATATATCAGATGTTTAGGCATCAAGACCTCAACAAATAACACCAAACAAACATATGAACAAATGACATACACATTTTTGAAAAAACACATTTTCAAAAATTGTGCTTTCTTTCATTGTTTGATGTGCTTATAGACTTCAAACTAGTCATCAAGTAGTCAAATACAAATATCCACACATGATTGATCATTTTGAATTTTGATGTAAACTCCTTTGGTTTAAACATTAGTCCCATCTATTAGAATCAATTGCTTGATATAGCAGCTTCATGTTGTGTTAATGTCACAATTAATACAAATTTCACTACTTAGTTTTCAATAAAGTAAACTGTAAAGTTTTGACTTCACTTGCAGATGTTATAAAGAGTATAAAATATTTCCAAGTGATGAAGTTTCACATATTTAGAATCTTGTAGTATTATTGCACAATTGAGTTCATTATCAATAAAGTTGATTGATACTTAAGAAAAATAAAATTTGAAAAATACAAATTCAATGCTTGAACAAAACATTATTATGAAATGTGATTAATATCTATGAAATGTATTATCAACTATAATATTTGTTCTTTACTTGTATAAAATTTTGTTAAAATTGATGAATATGTATTGTCATTTTTTTTAAATGAATTGTAAACATACGACAATGATGTATGAAATTTTATTTCTACAAATATAATAATATATACTTCAACTTGTGTTCATAATGTTTAAAAAATCAGACATAAATAATGTTATGAATTCAATATGATGTGCAAATGAGAAAATTCACAAGTTTTTTTTTCAAATTAGATAATAAGAATAATAATAATAATATCATACATTTGAATTTATTATATAATTATAAATTTTTAATTTAAAAAAAGTTATAATTATATTTTCAAAATATCATATATATTGATACATTAGGTGAAATATTCAAAACTGATTTATTGATTAATATCATTAGGTTTAAAGCAAATAATTCTTGTTATTAAATTAAATTGAGCACATGCATATAAACATATTATATACTGTAGATTTAATAAAAAACAACTCATAGATCACATTTTTGTTACGTTTTTAGATTGAATCTGTTCATTTCTCATCTAGTACATTCTTATTTTGAACAACTCTTTTGTCTAATAAATGAAAGTATAATAATAACAAAGATATTGAAACAAAATTTCTAACAAAATCCACTTCTTTAATTTTAGAAAAATGTCGCTATATATAATTTAATCAATTTTTGTTGAGGTTATCTCTAGTTAAGGAGTAACCTTAGGTATAGCTATACTCAGTTAATACGGTCGGTAAATTGGGTTTAAATACTTGATTTCTGCTTGTACATACTGCACGTCTTTGTGTGAGAAACCTAAAGTAAAGTGTTGAGTGTTCTTGATCAATATAACCTCTTCGAAGAAGTGAACCACATTACATTTTGTGTCTTAAATGTTTCATGTCACTTGCGTGTTTTGACATTACAATTAATATAGAGCGAGGTTTTTATTCATAGTGTGACAAGTCTTGTAGTATGAGTCGAAGCAAACAATACTTATGAAATTTTCAGTCGTTGACGGAATTCTGTTTGGAATTTTTTTTGCCGAAAAGTTTCAATGGTAAAATACAAATTGGTCTTGGATTGATCAATACTAATAATATTGATCAATCCATTGCTATCAATATTCAAGCCATGTTTAATTTCATATATCAATGGATTGTTCAATCTAAATTATGATCCATTCTTCAATATATAAAGGTATTGTGATAGTTTGTTAACAGTATATTAATTATATTGATGTATATTTGATTATACATAATATAAAAGTTGAAACAAAAAATGATAAATCTTGTTGTAAATTATCAACAGAAAGTTATATGTGTAAAACAAAATTTGCAATTATAAACATGAAGCAACATTTTCACTCTTATTTTGGTCAAACGTCAATATTCCAATTTATCATTGAATACAATGTCAACAAAATAAAATGTTATTGCTTTTTTATTTTGAATTTAAAAAATCATTATTTTAGTATAAATTGGAACAAGATATACATCATATAAGTTTTTTACTCATTAAAATACCATAATACATGATAAAAAAATGTAGACACATATTAAACTATATTTAACGTATTTTATATCAAAGAGTTGTATGGACACTTAAAACCAACATAGATTAACATATTAAAATCTCATGAAGTGTAATAAAATACAATAAAATATCTTATGCATGGTATCTTTTTATTTTATTTTCATCAATTCTTTTCCAACATACCATGAGATAACTCAAATTTTTATATAATTTTACAATATTGCTTACTCAAAAGTAGAAAATATATAACTTTTTTAACTCTATACTTTTTGAACTTTATAACTATAGATTTTATCAAGTTTTTTATATTCATATTATCAGACATAATCTCTTGTATTTAAGGGTAAGATTGCAATAATTATAATAATAGTACAACAAAAATTACATATTTCTTCAACCTCAGAATATATAGCAAAACATCATCATATATTAAGAAAACAAGAGTTATTTCGGTAGTCCATAATGTTTCGTCAAATACTCATATTAAAGAATTGAATCCAAGTGAGTATGAATATAAAATTACCTGTGATATATATTTGCTTGAAAATAATGTCTTCAGTTATGTTAATAATGTCTTTATATCTAATAAAAAAAGCTATGAATTTTTGTTCATAAGATATATTATGTATTTAGTGATGTGTTGCTAGTTAAAATAACTACTCGGAAAACAATATGAAATATAAGAATAAAAAGAATTAAGAATAAAACTAAAAAATCGGTTGAAAATGATTCAAGTAAGTAAAATCAATTAATTGATATTAATATAATTAATGTGAAGTTTTGAATCAAATATACTTGAGTGAGGTATTTGAAAGCAATTAGGGTTAAAATATTCTTACTGCAAATTAAAATGCACAATGAATCTTGGTAGTGTCATATATCAAATTTGTAACAACTCTTTATGGCAATTATAGCTAAGCATTAATTTCATATCAAAATTTGAAACTAATGCTATAGTTATAAAATATTCAAAATTTCAAAAGAATTATGTCGATATTAATTCTTATAATTATCATAAAAAATATTTCAAAAATAACAGATTAAAATATTGACTTGAGTTGATTTTAATCAAATTAGCTTGAGCAAACAGTAAAGTTAATTATAACTTTGCATAATTCAAATATTTTGTTTACAAATTATTATTTTTTATAATTTTACAGTACCGATAACATTTTATATTTTTGGTTTTTTTCTTGAAATAATATTATTTTTTTATATTGCTTAATCAGCAATTAAACATATCAGGCTGTTGAATTGTAAACTTTTTAATGCTCGTGTTTGGTGATTAGATAATCGAATAAAGCAAAATATACAAAAAGTTAAAAAGCGAGAATAAAATAAAATCAGCTTATATTATCAATTATTTCATCAACAAAAATATTTTTTTCCAATCACAATTTTTTTAAATAAGACCTAGAAAACACATAAATTCGTTATCAAAAAATTCAGATTACATAATTACTGATTGAAACAGCTAAAAATGAAATGATTTCATTTAA